TCTCTGCGTAGCTTTGCGCCTTTCCTGGAGCTCACTTGGTAGCCCAGGCTGGCCTCGAACTCACAGAGATCCGCCTGTCTCTGCCTCCCGAGTGCTGGGATTAAAGGCGTGCGCCACCACCGCCCGGCAAGGATATTCTTTTATCTTTTGTTCACTGATAAATTCCCCAGAACTGCCCAAGGCATAACGGCCTGTGAAACTTTTTTGAATGAATGAATGAATGATGACTCCAGTAGTCTAGCTGCAAAAGAGAAAACTCAGGAGATGAAAAATAATCCTCACAGAAAAAAGGATTCAAAGAGGTTTATGTTGAATCCATTTCTTCCATAAAGCTATCTAGGGTCCCCATTTTGTTCATACTCTCAAGAAATCACCATGAAGATACTCAGAAATTACTAGTCACCTTAAGCCAACTGAGAAGCCAAAAATAAATACAAGAATCACAAATAACCAAAAAATTTCACTAATTTTAGCTGCCTCTCCAAGAGACTGACAGTTACCCTGAGGTCATGGTTCCAAAAACAGTGATGTCTGCTTCTTCTGGGATTCCTGCAACTAGTTGGACAAACAAGGACCATGAGACCATCAGATGGTAATGCTGACAAGGGAACATTGATGAGAGTAGTTGTCGCTTGTTGAGGTCTTACTGTGCACGAGGCATGGAGAGACTTTCTAGTCATCATGGCTGTCACTACTGTCCCCACTGTGGCAGAGACAATGATGAAAGCTCTAGTCACTACTGCATTTTCCTCTGACACCCAAGAAGGCCACATTTCATACTACCACTCTCCCCTGACTCCCAACAAGAACTGGTTCCTGGATCTTGGCTCATGGAAGTTAGGCAGAGGGCATCTTCCTACCTCCAGGCATAGTTTCTCTGTGATAACCACTATAACCTTCCATACCCTCCATCATGAGGCTAAAAAGGGAGAAAGAAATAAAATATAATTGCATCAAGCCACTGATATCTGCTTAGTTAGAAAAACAGTATAAATCATCCTGTCTTCACTCAACTGTCTTATGCTAGGGGAAACTGAGGCATTGTTATAGAAACTGGCCATCCTTGTTACTGGAACTGGCATTTGAACTCGGGTAACTGCCCTGGTTCCAAGAGTTTAATCTACCATGAACAAGCATGGACCCAGGAGAGGGCCAAATGCTCTCATTTAGATGAATTCACTGATAGTAGAAAGCTAGAAAAGAGCAGCCGAGAGTGTGTGAAAGCAGAAAGAACAGATATTGCACAAAAAGGTGCCCAGTTAGTCTGTGGCTAGCACAAGTCACACACTTTATTTTGATACAGATGGTGTATAGCATTTTCTGTTCATTAAATTCCTCAATATAACTTTACAGCAAGAATGCTTGACTTGTATTTCATATGGTCCCAGGTGTGCTAGGAAAGAGAATTAAGCCACCCAGCAACACTGCATGAAACTAATTAATTGGCAAAATTCACAATTCTTACCATTATTATAGTACTATGTGTGGAAGGGAAATAGGTGAAGGAAATGAACATCAAAGAGAAGTGTGGGACAAGGGAAGCAAGCGTTGATTAACTCCTGAGAAAACGTCAGGGAAGGAGTGCCTATAGTTCCTACTTCATCGCACGATTCTGGCAACACAGGAAGGCACCATCTTTTCCTTGTCATAAACAAGTAAACCATGGGCTAAGAAGGCAAATAAATTTCAAGACTTGACAACTCACTTGGAGCAGAGAAGGAACACCTTATAGTAATTCCAAGCCACTGTAGGTTCTCAGGTTTTTTGTGTGAATCTGTGCCCTTGTCTGTGCACATGGAGGCCAGAGGCTGATACTGTCTTCCTGTATTGCTCTCCACCTTCTGTTCTGAAGCATAGTCTCTCACTGGACCTGGAGCTCACCATTTCACATAGACTGGCCAGCGAGTCACTGGGAACCACCTGTCTTCTCTCCCCCAGCACTGAGGTTATAGGTACATATCACCATGCTTGCTTTTGCTCTTTCACTTGTGGTCTGGGGATCCAAATCTAGGTCCTCATGCTTGCATGGCAAGTAATTTATCTTCTCAGTCATCTCCCTTGCCACCAAAAAGATTGTTTTGAACTGAAGGAAGTGATAAAGACTGATTCTAGGTCAGCAAGATGGTTCAGCGGGCAAAGATGACTACTACACCTGATGACCCCATGTTGGATCATCAGAACCTATGTGGTAGAAGAGAATAAAATCCTATAAGTTGTCACTTCACCATACAACACCTATGAATATGCATGTGCACTGAATAAATAAATGTTTGAAGCTCTTAATAATTAGTTTGAAAGTCAACTGCTATAAAGAAAATTTCAGTTTCCTGTTGTGTTGGTCAACTTCCTATCACAAGAAATAATCAAAACAAAAAACAGGGATAAAAAAAATCTTATAAACACAAAGGTTTAGCTAAGCTCAAATTTTTGAGCCCTAATCAGTTGCTTCCATTGTTTTGGGTCTGTATTGAGGCTGTCCATCATGGCAGAAATGAATGATGAGCAAAACCACTCACTTCAAGACAGACTAGAAAGCAAAAAAGACCCAGAACAGGCAGGGTCCTACAGTCTCTCCCAAGTGCAGAGCTGATGATGCCTGAGGACCCCTCACTAAGTGCCCCTCCTAATGGTTCTATCATCTAATCAATAGCATCACCTGGGGACTTGACCTTTACCACATGGACCTTTGAGGAACATTCAAGATCCAATATATAGAACCAACGAGAATGCATGTTGGAAATATGAACTAGACACTTCCATGGAACAAGTACATTCAAGATCCAATATATAGAACCAATGAGAATGCATGTTGGAAATATGAACTAGACACTTCCATGGAACAAATCTGAAGGGCAATAATAGATCATCTCAATAGAATGCTTGTTATGTGTTAAGCATATTATATATGTTTTGGTCACACAACATAGAAACATGGCACATATTACTGTTTGTTAGCCCCACATTTACAGGTATGGAAATGAACAAGTGAAGATGGCTCCTTTGCCTTTCCAAATTAAAACAACATGTATTAGACAGCTCGGTGTGCCCCAAATATGGGTACGGCATTGTAGAGTATTAGTTGAAAATGTGTTACATTTGTTTATGCTGCAGAATATTTGTTTAATGATGCAAAGATGTATTGCATTATTTTTTGTTGTTTTTTTGTGTTTTGTTTTGTGTTTTGTTTTTCAAGATAGGGTTTTGTAACTAGAGTTTTCCTGCCTTGCCCACAGTCAGGACAAATCTTTGTCACCTGCCAGTCCCACAGCCGCTCAGACCCAACCAAGTAAACACAGAGACTTATATTGCTTACAAACTGTAGGGCTGTGGCAGGCTTCTTGCTAACTGTCCTTACAGCTTAATTTAATCTATTTCCATAAATCTATACCTTGCCAAGTGGCTCGTGGCTTACCGGCATCTTCACATGCTTCTTGTCATGGCATTGGCTAGCAATGTCTCCTTTTGCCTTTCTGTTCTTTCTTTTCTCCTCTCTGTTAGTCCCACCTATACTTCCTGCCTAGCCACTGGCCAATCAGTGTTTTATTTATTGACAAATCAGAGCATTTAACATACAGACCATCTCACAGCAGGGTTTCTCCGTATAGTTTTGCACCTTTCCTGAATCTCACTCTGTAACCAGGCTGGCCTTGAACTCACAAAGATCCACCTACCTCTGCTTCCCGAGTGCTGGGATTCAAGGTATGCGCCACCACCACCTGGCATGCATACTTTTTTGTTGCATTTGTTTAACTCCATAAAGCTTTGTTACTGTGTCTGTCTAAAACACCTGATTGGTCTAATAAGGTACTGAATGGCCAATAGCTGGGCAGGAGATAGAAATAAGTGGTGCTACCAGGCAGAGACACTAATTAAAGGAATGAGAAGAGGGGAGGAGTGGGAAAAGGAAGGGGATGAGGATGCCAGGGGCCAGTCACCCAACCACACAGCCAGCCACAGAGTAAGAAGCAAAGAAAGGTATATAGAACAGAGAAAGGTAAAAGCCTAGAGGCAAAAGGTAGATGGGATAATTTAAGTTAAGAAAAGCTGGCTAGAAATAAGCCAAACTAAGGCTGGGCATTCATAAGTAATAATAAGTCTCTGTGTATTTATTTGGGAGCTGGGTGGCAGGCGCTCAAAGAGCAAAGAGTGAAACAAACAAACAAACAAACAGAAAGCTGCAGTACAACTTAGCTGGATCCTTTGGCTCAGAGTCTCTCAGAAGTGTCAGCCCAGGTGTTAGGCAGAGGTATGGTCATCCAAGGCTAGAGCAGGGGAAGGTCTGCTTCAAGAATCATGAGTGGAGCCTCCAGCAATATCATTTCCTTGTCACTTTGGCCTAACTGTAAGTCAATTCACAACCCACACAGAATGTGCTTCTGATCTTACATATACAAGAATGTTCATAGCAAGTACATACTTGCTCTAGTACTCCAAGTACTTCAAGAAGTAACATAATATTCATAATGTGAAGGTCAACAATGAGGCCACAAATACCAGTACCTTTGGGCAGAGCTGAATGGGATAATTGCAAATGAGAGGTCATCATCACAAACACATGATATAAATGAAAGGGTCTTATTCTGTAAGTGTATGGCAAAGCATACAAAAACTCATCA